TCGCATGACAGACAACATAACAGAGAGTGACATGACGATGGGGGGTGTAAAAAGAGGTCACTGGACAGTGTGTGTGTTTTGTCTCAAAGATTAACAGTGTGTGTGTGTGTGTGTGTGTGTGTGTGTGTGTGTGTGTGTATGTTGGGCATACAGCAGAGGCAGATGTCTGGGGTCCCATGCCATAAGGGAGCATGTGTGTGTGTTGCTGTCTGTTCATGTGTGTGAAGTGATGTGCAGCCAATCAACTCAATATCCTTCCCTTCAGTGGTTTCTGAGGCCGTCAGCGAGCGACTGTCGACGTGATTTCAGTTCAGAGATGTCAAAATCCTTGGATCTCACCACACCAGATAACCAAATACAAACAAAGCAATATTATAGTCATAACAGGTATGGATTTATACATTTGTAGAGACAGAGAAATGAACTGGTGGGTCACTCGTGTCGGCATATACACAGAGCATATTGTCAGAATTAAACTTTTACTGTTGCCAGTCATTTTGGTCAAACACCTACATGGCTACAGAACTAAAGAGCACCAACTTTCTCCTGCAATTAACTCAGAGTCTGAGTCATTCTTGACTTCATGCAGTGATGAAGTTAGTTTTTATTATTATTGTCATTGTTGTTGTCAGAGTTACAGGCAGAACGGCATTATATCCTGTAATTACACAGAGCGGCTGCACCATCTGCTGGTTAATACAGAAAGATGCACACACACACACACACACACACACACACACACACACACTGATGTTTGAGATCTCTTTATTGAAGGCATCATAGTGACAGTGTCATATTCATGTGTAGACAGACGTGGTTTAATAAAAGACTGATGATTGTTAGCTGTAAAGAAAATACAGTACATATTTAAACAATATGGTATATATTTTTCCATCTCACATTTATTTCTTTCTGATATATTATATATGACATTTTTTTCTGCCATTTGATGGCATACAATACTATGACATGTGTTATGATATTTTTACACACACTGTACTATGATATTTCTATGACAATACAATATATTGATATTTTTTATGACATCCGATATTAAGAAATTTTGTATGACAGCTGGCTGACCATCTGACTATGACATTATAATGGCGTACTATTACATGATTTTTCAGTGACATACTTTGACTTTTTATGGCATTTTTTCTATGACATGCTATACTATGACTATTATTTTATTATTTTATTACTTTTTATACTATATACCATATTTAATGGCAAACTATACAGTGACATTATTGGCATACTATACTGATATTTTTTGTGGCAAACAGTTTTATGACATTTTAATGTATTACTATAATGTATTTTTCATGACACTTTATTTTGAGATTTTAATGCCATTAATTGTATTGCATGCCATACTATGGCATATTTCATGGCATGCTATGATTATTTTTTTTATGACATACTATAGTATGACTTCTTTTTACGACACACCATGCTACATTTTTTTATGACATACTTTACTATGACATTTTTTGTTTTTGTTTTTTGTTTTTTTGACATGCTATGCTTTTGGCTTTGATTTGTGTCCACCATTTACAGTATAATGACTCCCTAAACCTGCTAATACTCTGGGGGTGAATGAGTCCTGGAATTATGACCCACAAAGGACATGATCTTGGACTGGGACAATATTTGGGCTTACATA